TATATATATATGGTCCGACAACCAAATAACATGATGTTACAAGTGACAACAAAATAATTCCTAATGAATAAAAGAAAAAACAATTGAGTCAAATTTTGTCGATTTAAATATCGAATAATCCACTCCAGTTCACATTTTCGAATAGGATACGATTCGTACCTTTTTTAGACACCCTGTATATATTTTCTAAATAATTCAATAAAAAGTTATGAAAAATAATAATAATAAGTACTTACATGAAACCTATAATGACTTCGATTTCCTGGTTCTGCAGCAGTGCAAAGACCCTCCGAACGATATGTTTCTTTTTTATATTTTACAATCGATCCGTGTGGCCATAAAATGGCATCGTTCCATAATTGCACGTATATGGTGCTATTACGATTCTCAATTTTTACCCAACGCCCTAAATGAAGGGCTGCTCTATGTAATACATCGCAATACCTAAATTTAACGATTGAACATAACATGAAAATACTAATAAATCTAATTAAAAAAAAAAAAAAAACAATTCATTATTATTTTATATACCTTACTGGATAAGCTTGAGCAAAATGAGCACTTATTCTTCCAAGCCAAAACAACACAACATATTGTACTACCCATTGTACATTAAAATGTAAGGATTGTGGTACAAATATGATAGGTGCAATACCGCAAATATAAGCTGTAGTACATGACGCAAATAACGCTATTTTTAATCTATGATTAAAATCTGAACTAAAAGTTGAAACTTCGGCTCTGATTGCTGATGCACTTAATGAACAATTGTGTAAAGGTGTATCTATAAAAATATTATATAAATTTTACTGTCTTATTGATAAAACTATCTCAATAAGTATCAAATAATATACCTAACAAATATTTCATTCTTTTATCTTCTTTAATGTGTCGAGGTGCCGCTGACATATCAAAGAATGGCGATATACTCATACCAAATGTAAAAAAATATACAATTATACTGCTGAAAATAAACAATTATACATATGTAGTGTTTTATAAAATATGATTGGAAATATATAGCTAAGAAAAATACTCACGGATAAGATAAATAAAAAAGTTTCATTAAATTGTACTTTTCCGCCATATGATACAAACACCAAAGTAATATACTCAAAACAATAAATAATAAAGTTATCCTAAAATATAAAATATTCTTTAGATATTTGACATAACAATAATTAAATATTCGTAATATTTAATTTGTAATATTATACCTCATTAATTTTTGAGCTATATGAAACCAACGAGTTGGGGATGAAAAATCAACTAATCGTCTTAACAATGTATAAACAAATCTTCGTGCTACCATAGTAATAATAAATATGAGAAGATAAGGATCTATGAGATAAAAATTCTGAAACAATGTACACATATAAAATATTGTATTAAATTGCCACACGTATATGAAAACAATTTTTGTATGTGTAATATATTTACTGCACTGTCAAAAGAATAAAATATATTTAATGAAAGTAACATACCATGCTGTATGAATTATATGAATGAGATAACCACCAGACAGTCCTATACAAATTTAATAATTGTAAACATGCGGCAATAATTGACACGACTAATGACAAGGCTTCAAATGTCAATGGTCCATCAACCGGTACCATTGGAATAGGTACATGTTTTGGTGCTAACAGTTTTCCAAAGTTATCATCTAATTTTTTTTCATCTCCACCACTTCCAAGTACTCTATCACCACTGTTACTTCTTCCAATGGATGAAGTAAGACTAAATTGTGATTTACTAGTCGGAGCACTCCGACCACTAGCATTTCTTCGTCCACTTGGCATAATACAAAAACTCACATGTCCAACACTTTATATATATCTGAAATAACAGCAAAAAAAACTTTATGTCACATACCAAAAATCGGCACAAACTTTCCGAACAACCCAATAATATAAATATTATACTATTTGTTATTAAATTTATATTAAAATTGGATTTAAATTCATATGTGATAGATATATCATATAATGCATATATAAATATAATATATCAAAATATGTATGTATTGTGTATAAACATTAAGTTTAAGAACATTAAAAATATGAACAAATATTCTTCTTACTATTTTTTATGTATTTTCCAATAAATGTTGTTTTATTAAAATATTTTGCCAGAACATCAGTCCTTTTTTTTCTTTTCAATAAATAACTAACAACGTTTGCCGTTAATTTAAAGTTTAACGTTTTCTGTTTTTGTTATTTACACTAATCATAGAATATTTAACACAAAGAGACAAACTTAAAAGTAGTAACACAAAATTGACATAGATAGACATATAATATATGATTTCTTATTATGAATGTTATGATCGATCGTGCATGGTTAAAAACCCTAAAACACAAAAGCTGTAGGGGAAGTTGTTTATGTTAGAATGGAAAGACTGACAGAAACTATTGAATGGTGATTTTTCTGATGAATCTTTTTCTTATGTATAACAGTAATACAATATATATGTTTATCTGGTTTAAAATTTAACGTTTTTACATATAAATATTATTTAGGAATAAATTAACATTTTTTAAACGCTTTTTTAAATTGGACTTAAACTACTTTTAATTAGAGTGTAAGCCTTTCTTACCAATCTACCTGTTACATAACAGGGATTTTTGCACACCGAGAAAATGTAGCTTCTAAGCTAAGTTCACGTTGCTTCCAGAACTAGTCCATTGGAAATCTTATAGTATCTATACTTACAGATATTAAGAAAGCAGACAAAGAGATTGGATATACCTTGTAATGGATCCATGGATGAATCTCAAAGTGACTGGTAACAGTAGTCACAATTATTTTATGATACCAATTAAGAATGGAAGATTATTATCATATTCACTATACTCATCAAACTTATCATATTTAATTAATTATTAATATTAAAACAAGTAATTGCAGTAGCACTGTGCAATATTGGTTTTTAATTTGAAGGAACACTTATTAAGTGAAAGTGTGAGTATTTTTCATGTATGCCCAATTTATTACACTTATGTTTTACTTAATTTACTTCTGCTAATTATATTAAATTATATTTCATTTCAAGTATTATAAATTTATTCATTTATATATTTATAATTTGAATAAATTTTCAATCAAATTGAAATGTCAAAAAATATATTTGATGAATATGTATTTGCAGATGTTTAGTCCTGTACCAATTAAGTACGAATATGTAGGAGGAGAAGATGTTAGCAGAAGTGGCAGGATCGATACTTCAGATAATTCTAAATATCCTTTGTTTATCAATCAAGACCCTGAGTGCAGATATCGTCCGTTACCACAATTTTGGGATTATGCACAATCTTCTGCAAGTATTCCTCAAAAAGAAGACGCTTACAACTGTCAGGATCTACTTCAAGCACAAGTAAATAATCATTATAATTGTAAAGGATATCTGCTATTCTATTCCACACTATGTAATCATAATGACTATTTAGTTTATTCTTCTAAAACTAAGAATTTGACTGAACTTATATGATATGATAAAAGAATTAATTTGAATTGGAAACATAATATATAATTTATGTTACATCAAGTTCATGGTGTTAACATCCATGTCAACATATCAACATTTATTTTTCAATGATTCTTAAAAGAACTGGTTGTTATGTTGATATTATTAGAAAAGATATAGAAAAAACAAACATAATATTATTTTAGGAAACAGGTTCTTTAACATATGTGAAAGATTACTTTCATCATGGCATATTATTTCAACTTAATCAACATCAAGAAGAGGCTGCTACTCAAACTCAATTTTCTGAACAGAGCCAACAGAATTTGGCAGATGAAGCGCAGTCACCGCAAGGATTACAGTATGCACAGCAGTCTAAAAGTGTGAATCAAACATCATCAACTGTGCAAGCACATCCCTCAATGAGACATAATCGTCCAGGAAGACCTCCAAAGAGTTCTTCTGAAACAACAGTGACAAAAAAATTAAAGTGTCAGTGTGAAATATGTTTTAAAGAATTTGGTCACAAGAGTAATTTATTTATTCACATGAGAACTCATAACGGAGAAAGACCGTATAAATGTAGTCAGTGTGAGAAATGCTTTACTCATAGTGGAAATTTAGCAATACATATGAGGACTCACTCGGGTGAAAGGCCATATGGTTGTCAAGTATGTGGTAAAATGTTTAGTCACAGTGGAAATTTATCTACACACTTGCGTACTCATTCTGGAGTAAAACCATACAAATGTTCAGTATGTGGTAAAGAATTCCGACATAGTGGGAATTTGTCAATACATGAAAGGATACATTCTGGTATTAAGCCATTTCAATGTAAAGTCTGTGGTAAAGATTTTTATCACAGTGGAAACTTAACAACTCATATGAAAAAGCATACAGTAAACGTTAGCGCAAATGTTGAAATTTGTGACAATGGTACAAAGCAAATTCAAAATACAAAAGATCATGATGATGTTCCTCATTCAAATTCACTAAATAATGTAGCATTGACTTCACCAATAAGTGATATTGAAATTATTCATAATACAGTTAATCCGGTTCCTGTAAAAAATGAATGTATTGATGAGCCTAGATCAGATAATGCTATAATATCAAAACCAACGACTACTTAAGTTACTTTTTTTTTTCTTTTTTTTTCTTTTTTTTCCTTTTTTTTTCTTTTTTTTTTTTTAAGAAAGAAAACTAAATAATGTATAAAATTTAAATTTTATGATTATATCCATATAAGAACTCTCAGTAGAAAGATATATATATATATAAATATATACATATATATAATTTTAATGGAAAGCTCAGTAAAAAATTATACATATACGAGGTGTATCCAAAAAGTAATTAGGCTAGTTCATTAAACATGTTTTTATCATCTGATAACAAATATACATTATCTTCTTCAAAGTAGTTTCCTTAACCCTTTTGCTACGGGGCGGATCTCCGCCGCGGTACTCCCGCAGTACGGCGCTCTACACCGAAACAGTGCACGGTGCACGCAACGTTCGAGCCGGTGTCGTAAGACTGATGATCGAGACATTTGGTTTATTATTGAAGCCCGTAAAAAACAAATGATGCAAAACGAAAGACTCACGCGGCATGTCTAGAGTGAGATACTCTGTGCATA